GATCCACAGTGCTCACAGGATGTGGGTGCTGGACTTGCTGCGCCTCTCAAGGGGATCAAAGGCACATGAGATGTTGGCCTTTTGGATACCTGAGCAGCAATTGAGCAGCTAGCACAGAGGAAGGCGGGAGAAGGTTGAATGGATTACTTGAACTAACAGCAGCTGACATGGTTGTGCTTCCGCTGTCTACTCTGATCTGTGTGTCCTCTCCCCATCTGTGCATGGTTGTGCTTCCGCTCTGTACTCTGATGTGCAGGTGGTACCCTGAGAACCTCACCGTGGACAGCAGCCATAGCCAGCCTGCTGAGGGCTTGCCATAGCTGGGGCATCCCCTGCGCATCAACCCCTGTGGGTTTCTGTGAGTGGCTGGGCTGTGTGGAGACTCTTCACTGAGTCCTTGTGGGTGGCGGCAGCCATAGCTGCCGGTTCTTCGTCAGAGTTGTTCAGCAGCACTGAAGGCATCATCACAGGATCTGTTCTTCATCTGGGTGGTTGGCGCTGGCCTCTGGGAGGCCATTCTGATAAAGCACTACTAACTGGGTGTAGGGTAGTGAGCGGAGTGTGAGGTTCTGACAGTGGCGAGACACTGGAACAAACTCTGTAACGATTTCTGGTTAATTGGCTCATCATCAGTGTGTATTCCAATTGTTATCCTCGCAGGTTCTTTCTTGTGATTGGTTGTTGGGAGTATCTTCAGAGAGTGAGCAACACTGTGTGTCCTCTCCCCATCTGTGCATGGTTGTGCTTCCGCTATCTACTCTGATCTGTGTGCAGTGTGGACTCTGTCTCCTCTCCTCCTTCTCTTATGCGTGTATGGGCGTGTGTGAGATTGTCTGTGTGTGAGTGGCGGTAAAAATCGTCAGCCAACCAAGTTCATAACAACTTTCTCTTCCACCCTCTCAGTCTTATCTCCCTCCCATCTTCTTCTTCTCTGGTGACCAGACACTGGGCTACTTGATGATGTATATGAATATTTGGAGACATTAAGACTGCGCTGAGACATTCAGTATCTTGACATTGACGAGCTTTTCTCCTGACTGGGTTCATTGCA